GCACAACGGGCCATGCCAGGGAGCGGGCACCGGGGAGCTGGGCTGGGCCGGGCCGGCGAGGTCCCAGGACTCTCTGAATACTCTGCTGCAAAACCCCTTTGGGAAATGCTCCCCCTGGCTTCGGGGGGGGGGGAGGGCAGGTGCCCGCAGCCCAGACCCGCCCCACACTGGGCGCTAACCAACCCCCTGTTGGCGCGACTGTAGGCCTGGAGCTGCTCCTTGGGCAGGGCTTGGCATGCTGGCAGGGCGTGGTGTGTGTGGGAGCCACCTGCCCTGCTCAGGTTGTACCTGCTCTGTAAATAAACAGCCGGCAGGGCGGGGGGCCCGTTCCCCAGCGTCCGTGTGCCCCCTGTTCAAACACAGCCGGGGGGGACTGGGAGTCAGGACTCCTGGGTTCTATTCCCAGGTCTGGGGCCGGGCGTGTGATTAGAGCAGCAGACGACAGGTCAGGATCCCTGGGTGCTGCCACTGGCTAAGGGGGGGCAATGCGGACTAGTGGTTACAGCAAGACACTGGGAGTTGAGACACCCGGGCTCTGTCTGGGCTCTGCTCCTTCCCGGGTGGCACAAGGGGACCCCCCTGAGTCTCAGCGCCCCCCTCAGCCCCCACCCCTTCTCCTGGGGTGTGGAGCCCTGGGACGGGCCGTGTGCTGCTGTTACACGCTCGGGCCCAGCCCTGTTGTTGTGGATTAGCTGTGCTGGGGCAGCGCCAGGAGCCTGAGTCTTGCATCAGGGCTCGACGGGCTGGGCGCTGCACAGACGGGGATCAAAGGGACAGTCCCCCCCACAGGGCCTACGATGGACGTGCCCCAGCGAACGGGGTTCATGGTGATCCCCAGCCCCTCCTCTCCCCCCGCCTGCCCCCAGGCAATGCAGGTGGGGCAGGTGGGGCCCGTCGCTCCATGCCACGGGGTCTCTGCAGCTCATGGCCTCACCGGCCTGGCATCTCGCTGGGGCCTCTTGTCTAATGGCCATTAATGGGCGCCGGATTCGCTAGCGGGCGGGGAGCCAGCTTGGTGGGGCTGCTCTGATCCTTGGGTTTGCCTTGGTTGTCTCCCCCTGGCATGGCTGCCGGGCGCCTGGTACCTCGCGCCCCTGCAGAGAGAAACGTGGAATTCCTTCAGCGCCAATTAGCCAGCCAGCAGCTGTGCCCACGGCAGCGTGTGCCGGGCTGGGATCCCGACGGCTGCGTCCGGAGGGCAACAGCCCTGCAAGATGCAGCTCCCTGGTGCTGGCTGCATGAGCTCCTCCCAGACCTGACCAGAGGCAGCGTGGCCTAGTGGACTGAGGCCCTGAGAATCACTAGCAAGGGCTTGTTTGCTGTGGCAGCCTGGCCTGGTGGCAGGGACACTGGGTGGGGAGCAGGACTTGCGGTTCTATTCCCACCATGGGCAAGTCCTGGCCCTGCACTGTGCCTCAGTTTCCCCTCCCACCCCTTGTCTTGTTTGCTTAGATTGTGACCTGCTCAGGGCAGGGGCAGTCTGTCTCTGTGCAGCACCCAGCACAACAGGGCCCTGGTCTTGGTTGAGGCCTCTAACAACACCCTGTGCTACAAATACTAATATGGCGGGGGGGGGGGGGGGCCTGGCTTTCCTGCCTACCCCCGCAGCCTCAGTCAGAGACAGGATTTTCCTTCCCGGCCTGTCCCGTGTGCTGTTAAACAAATCAGTGCTACGCCCTAGAGGTGGCTGCTTTTCTGTCGATCCGTGCCAGCTGCCTCCTGTCCTAACCTGTGCTGCGTGCTGTTCCAGTCGGCTGCTGGGCTGCACCCCAGAGGTGGCAGCATCTCGGGGCGGGGTGCAGTGTGAGGATTTAGGAGTCGGGGTTCTCTGCCCTGACTCCAGGCTCCTCGCTCTCACGATGGAGTTACGAAGACAGGGAATGAATTTCCTGCCCTGCTGGGGGCGGGCGCTCGGCTGTGCTGGGAGCTCGAGCGGGGCTCAGCGCCACAGGCCCTGAAGCGAAACCAAAGGGATTTGTGTTTAGAAAAACGTTTGGCTCATCTTGACAGACGCCAAAGGCTCATTCCCCCGTTTTCCAGCCTGGCGCGTGGTGTCGCTGGGCAGGCTCAGCGTCCTCGGGCAAAGCGCCCTCTGGCTCGTCTGAGCACAGAATGGCAGGACTTCAGCGGTGCTGTGTTCCACCCCAGAGGTGGCTGCATGTCAGTGGGGGCTCAGGGGGTGATGTCGTGTGTTTGGGGGGGAGGTATATGAAATGGGTGGGGGGTATATGGGGTGGGTGCATGCTGTGGGGGGGGTGTAGGAAGTGGGTGGGGGGTATATGAGATGGGGTATGTTTCACAGACTCACAGATCGTACCCACTCTTGGCCCCGTGCGGTCCGTGGGGGGTGCCCCTTCCACTGAGACAGCCCTTCCTGGGGGTCCACTCTCTCCCGGGGCCAGGCTCCTCCACCTCCTGGAGCCACACCTCTCTGAACCTTAGCATGTCTGTCTCTGCCGTGGGCCCCCCCAGGGAGTCCCCTCGCTCTGGGCCCCCGGGGCCTCCACCCCCCGAAGGGGTTGATGCCCCCTATTCTCTAGCCTGGAGCGACTCTCAGCCAGCGTAACACAGGAGGGTTTTTGAGAGTCTGAACACAGCACAGGAAACTCTCTGACCTCCGGCCTGGCCTCCCTCAACACAGCACATCCCAGTCTCCCTGCATCCAGGTGGGCTCTGCCTGCTCCCCCTCTCCAGCCCAGAGCCCCCCTGCTCCCAGCTGGGCATCTGATATCACCGGCCCCAGGCCCCGCCTCTGTCCATTGTTTTCTCTCCAGGGAAACAGGGTCGCCTGGGCCTCCTCTCCCCTCTTCTGTCCTCTGGACCCTCTGGCTGGAACTGGCTGGTCAGGTCACCGGGGTCCTCTCCCCGCAGCTCATTATCCCCCCACTGGCCAGAACCAGCTGCAACTCCTGAGCTGGGTCTCCGGGTCATCCATCGCTGGGGTGTCCCTCCTCCAGGCCATCGGCTGGGGTCCCAAGTTCCCTCTCCGGTCCTCTGTAACAACAAACTCCCTCTCCCCTCCCTTGTTAAACCAGTAACCCCCAGGGACACTGAGTCTCACCCCCTCTGCATGCAAACCATTGGAAAAACACGGAAAAAACAAGAAAATCCCCCACTTCATCACAGTATAAAGTGGGTGGTGGTATATGGGGGGTGTAGGAAGTGGGGGTATATGGAGTGTGGAGTATATGGGGGTATAGGAAGTGGGTGGGGGTTATGGGGTGGGGTATGAAGGGTCTGGGTGGGGTGGGAGGTATATGGGGTGGGGTATGAAGGGGTGGGTTGGGGTACATGGGATGGGAGGTATACAGGGGTGTAGGAAGTGGTGGGGGGGATATGAGGTGGGGTATGAAGGAGCTGGGTGGGGGTATATGGATTGTGGAGTATATGGGGGTGTGGGTGGGTGGGGGGTATATGAGGTGGGGTATGAAGATGTGGGTGGGGGGATATGGGTTGGAGTAGGGGTGTATGAAGTGGGTGGGGGGATATGAG